GCATTCCCAGTCCTGCTGCTCATGGCTTATCTCAGATGCTGCCAATTTCTTACCTTTGCTTCCTTGCCCCCTCACCCTCCTGCTCTCTGGCTTTTGTCCTCTCTATTAGAACTGCCAAATAAAGATCACCCTTCATGACTCAGAGTTTCATCAGCCTGATTCCCTAGAAATAGAGTCTGGAGGCCTGAGGCCTCCATGTTGACTTGTGATTGATTGACTCCCCCCTGCTGGTTTCTCAATTCTTTTCTGACTCTGCTTATGTCTGTTTCATTGCTTTCATTTCTTTCTTCCGCACATTTTGTCTGGGCCACCTGATCTTTCTGTAAATTCTCCCCCTGGTAGTCTGATTGATGACTTCAACTACCAGCTTTATAGGGCTGAGGAAAATGGGCTTTGCAGATGGTTCTGCTGAATGGCACTTAGTGTTGAATGATCTGCGTACATGGCCTGCTTATGCCCTTTCACAGTACGTTGCATGCATTTGACAGTCAGGCAGGCCGTGGCGCAGATCTTGCTAAATTTTGGGTTCTAGTAATGGGAGCAGGTTGTCAGAGTCTGGAGGTACCTTAGGAATGATCCAGTTCAACTTTATGATTTCACTAATAAGAGAACGGAAGTTCAAGGAGGTTAATAGACTTGATCACAGTCATGAAGCCTGTGAGTAAGAACTGGAAACTTGGTTCCTTAACTCCCAAAGCTTTACGCTCTTTCCTCACTAGCACACTCTATGAATTTGATAAAGAAGAATCTCAGTTTATATTGCCGTACCATTAGAATGTGCCCTTCTACTACAGAATTATATATGTATATATACACTTTATATGTTGACAAAATAAATAAAATATAGGAAATGTATTTTAAATATTTAAATAAAACATAGTATTTTATATATTTACATATAAATAATGTTTCATCTATTTATATGTAAATATATAAATATACTAATATAAATATATAATATATTAATGTTACATATAATATAATATAATATATAATATAATATAATATATATTTATAATATAATATAATATAATATAATAATATTATATATTAATATTATATTTATTATATTATATTAATATTAATTAATATTATATTTATTATATATTAATATTATATATTTATTATATTATATTAATATTATATTTATTAATATTATATAAATATTATGTTATAAATATAATATTTATATAATTATATAAATAATCTTTCTTTTTTTTTTGAGATGGAGGCTTGCTCTTTTGCCAGGCTGGAGTGCAGTGGCATGATCTCGGCTCACTGCAGTCTCCATCTCCCAGATTCAAGCGATTCCCCTGCCTCAGCCTCCTGAATAGCTGGGACTATAGGTACACGCCACGAGGCCTGGCTAATTTTTTGTATTTTAGTAGAGACGGGGTTTCACCATGGCCAGGATGGTCTTGATCGCCTGACCTTATGATCCACCCACCTCGGCCTCCCAAAGTGCTGGGATTACAGGCATGAGCCATCGTGCCCAGCCTACAAATACTATGTCCCACATCACGACACTGCACTCTGGGAAATATATAATATTTATGTAATATTTTATGTATTTAATTTATATATGCATATAAAAAGTAAAATATATAAGAGAGATATATTTTGAGAGACAGGGTCTCACTCTATTTGTCAGGCTGGAGTGCAGCGGCATGATCATAGCTCACTGTAACTCCTGGGCTAAAGCAATTCTTCCCCCTCAGCTTCCTGAGTAGTTGGGATTACAGGGGTGCTCCACGATGCCTTGCTAAGTTTTAAAAAGTTTTTGTAGTCTATAAATGTAATTCACCACATAAACAGAACCAAAGACAAAAATCACATGATTATCTCAATAGATGTAGAGAAGGCCTTCAACAAAATTCAACAGCCCTTTATGCTAAAAACTCTCAATAAACTAGGTATTGCCGAAACATATCTCAAAATGATAAAAGCTATTTACGACAAACTCATAGTCAATATCATACTGAATGGACAAAAACTGGAAGCATTTCCTTTGAAATCTGGTGCTAGACAAGGATACCCTCTCTCACCACTCCTACTCAATATAATATTGGAAGTTCTAGCCAGAGCAATCAGGCAAGAAAAAGAAATAAAGGGTATTCAATTAGGAAAGGAGGAAGTCAAATTGTCTCTATTTGCAGATGACATGATTGTATATTTAGAAGACACCATCATCTCAGCCCCAAATCTCCTGAAACTGATAAGCAACTTCAGCAAAGTCTCAGGATACAAAATCAATGTGCAGAAATCACAAGCATTCCTATACAGCAATAACAGACTTAAAGAGAGCCAAATCAAGAATGAACTGCCATTCACAATTGCTACAAAGAGAATAAAATACCTAGGAATACAACTAACAAAGGATGTAAATGACCTCTTCAAGGAGAACTACAAACCACTGCTCAAGGAAATAAGAGAGGACACAAACAGATAGAAAAACATTTCATGTTCATGGTTAGGAAGAATCAATATTGTGAAAACGGCCATACTGCCCAAAGTAACTTATAGATTCAATGCTATCCCCATCAAACTACCTATGACCCTCTTCACAGAACTGGAAAAAAATACCTTAAACTTCATATGGAACCAAAAGACAGCCCACATAGCCAAGTCAATTCTAAGCAAAAAGAACAAAGCTGGAGGCATCACACTACCTAACTTCAAACTATATTACAAGGCTACAGTAATCAAAAAAGCATAGTACTAGGCCGGGCGCGGTGGCTCAAGCCTGTAATCCCTGCACTTCGGGAGGCCGAGGCGGGTGGATCATGAGGTCAAGAGATCGAGACCATCCTGGTCAACATGGTGAAACCCCGTCTCTACTAAAAATACAAAAAATTAGCTGGGCATGGTGGCGCGTGCCTGTAATCCCAGCTACTCAGGAGGCTGAGGCAGGAGAATTGCCTGAACCCAGGAGGCGGAGGTTGCGGTGAGCCGAGATCGTGCCATTGCACTCCAGCCTGGGTAACGAGAGCAAAACTCCATCTCAAAAAAAAAAAAAAAAAAAAAAAAAAAAGTATAGTACTGGTACCAAAACAGAGATATAGACCAATGGAACAGAACAGAGGCCTCCGAGGCAATGCCACACATCTACAACCATCTGATCTTTGACAAACCTGACAAAAACAAGCAATGGGAAAGGATTCCCTGTTTAACAAATGGTGTTGGGAAAACTGGCTAGCCATGTGCAGAAAGCAGAAACTGGACACCTTCCTGACACCCTTCACTAAAATTAACTCCAGATGGATTAAAGACTTCAATGTAAGACCTAACACCATAAAATTCCTAGAAGAAAACCTAGGCAAAACCATTCAGGACATACACGCATAGGCAAGGACTTCATGACTAAAACACCAAAAGCAAGTGGCAACAAAAGCCAAAACAGACAAGTGGGATCTAATTAAACTCCAGAGCTTCTGCACAGCAAATGAAACAATCATTAGAGTGAACTGGCAACCAATAAAATGGGAAAAAATTTTTGCAATCTACCCATCTGACAAAGGGCTAATATCCAAAATCTACAAATAACTAAAACAGATTTTATGAGAAAAAAACAAACCCATTCCAAAGTGGGTGAAGGATATAAACAGACATTTTTCAAAAGAAGACATATATGAGGCCAACAAACATATGAAAAAATGCTCATCGTCACTGGTCATTAGAGAAATGCAAATCAAAACCACATTGAGACACCATCTCACACCAGTTATAATGGCAATCATTAAAAAATCTGGAGACAACAGATGCTGGAGAGGATGTGGAGACATAGAAACATTTTTACACTGTTGGTGGGAGTGCAAATTAGTTCAACCATTGTGGAAGACGGTGTGGTGATTCCTCAAGGATCTAGAAATAGAAATTCCATTTGACCCAGCATTCCCATTACTGGGTATATATCCAAAGGATTATAAATCATTCTATTATAAAGACACATGCACATGTATGTTCATTGCAGCACTGTTTACAATAGCAAAGTCCTGGAATCAACCCAAATGCCCATGGATGATACACTGGACAGGGAAAATGTGGCACATATACACCATGGAATACTATGCAGCCACAAAAAACGATGAGTTTATGTCCTTTTAGGAACATGGATGAATCTGGAAACCATCATTCTCAGCAAACTGACACAAGAACAGATAATCAAACACCACATGTTATCACTCATAGGCAGGTGTTGAACAATGAGAACACATGGACACAGGGAGGGGAGCATCACACACTGGGGTCTGTTGGTGGGGACCAGGAGAGGGATAGCAGTGGGTAGGGAGTGGAGGACGGATAACATGGGGAGAAATGCCAGATATAGGTGATGGGGATGGAGGCAGCAAACCAAATTGCCATGTATGTACCTATGCAACAATCCTGCATGTTCTTCACATGTACCCCAGAACCTAAAGTGCAATAAAATATATACAAAAATAAAAATATAAATTTAAAAAAAGTTTTTGTAGAGATGGGCAACTCACTTTGTTGTCCAGGCTGGTCTCAAACTCCTGGCCTCCAGCAATCCTCCCACCTTGGCCTCCCAAATTGCTGGGATTACAGGCAAGAGCCTGTAATATGGCATCTGGCCATGTTACGGGATTATATTCATAATTATTTTGTTCCCCATTTTATTGATATATTACTGTAATGGAAAAAAGAAAAGCTTGACAGTACACTTTTTAGTTAAGTATATACTTTAAAGTTATCTGGCCCATTACAGGAGAGGTGCTTAATTGACTCATGTTCACATAATGCTTAACTTCACTTTTTTTCTTTTTTTGAGATGGAGTCTCACTATCACCCAAGCTGGAGTGCAGTGGTGTGATCTTGGCTCACTGCAATCTCCGCGTCCCGGGTTCAAGCAATTCTCCTGCTTCAGCCACCTGTGTAGCTGGGATTATAGATCACAGTGTTTTCTCAATGGTCACTTTGTCTCTGGTCAGTTGACTCACTTATTACTAAGGTGTCTCAGCAGTCAAATTGATTGATCTTACCTGTTCAGAGACAAGGAGCAGACCAGTCTTTGTCCCAAAATAACCAGGCCAACACTGGTACTAGCAACCTATAGACAATAAAAGCATTTATTAAGATGAGTCAGTCTGTCCATTTTGGCTACCAATATAGTTTCCAATAGTTGAAACATTATAGGCCCAACTTTCCCTCTTAGTCTAAAGATGTTGGAAGTCCAAAAGACACTGGAAATAAATACCTCTGAAAATCCTCTCTTGTAGTTAGGGAAACTACCTGCAAAGAATTTTTGTTTGATGATCCCCTTGGAATTATTTTTTTTTCTCCTAATCTCTCTTCTCTATGTACGTGTGTGTGTGTATGACATTTTTATTAGGTTCATTATATTTTCCCTTCTATCAGATTGCATTTGGCCTTCATCTGCTCAAGTAAATACGAATTCTACCTTGATTGAATTATTTAGAAAAAAAAAGAAAGAAAAAAGAAAGAAATCCAGCTCTCTATGTAATGGAGGTGGTGGGAAGAGCATGCATGAAGTAGAGATTGGAGAGAAATTTTACAATGTATGAGAGTGTGAGCTGGCCTCCCATCCTGCCACACATACCCTTCCCTCAGCTCTGTCTTCACTGAGATGGGTCTTACCCTGCTGCATAGACTGGAGAGCAGTGGTGCAATCATAACTCACTGCAGCTTCAAACTCCTGGGTTCAAAGCAATCCTCCCACCTCAGCCTCCTGCGTAGCTAGGATGACAGATGCATAACACCACCATGCCTGGCTAATTTAAAAAACTTAAATAAATTTAAAATTAATTTTTTTTTTTTGGTAGAGATAAGGTCTTGCTATATTGCCCAGGCTGGTCTCTAACTCCTGGCCTCAAGCAATCTTCCTGCTTCGGCTTCCCAAGACATGGGGATTGTAGGCATGAGCCATCTTGTCCAGCCTCCATCCTCATTCTTAATCAATGTATCATCCCCACCCTCTTCAAACATTTAAAAGCTGCTGGCCAACAGTCACAGCAGGAGCAGGATTGGCATCTACAGTCTGCCCCACTGTCTCCCCAGACTTACGAAGTCCATGGAAACGATGGTTTCAACTGTGGAGTTCTTGGTTTGGGTGAGCATCATGATGGAGGCAGGGATGTCCAGGGTGAAGTTGCCTGGTTGTAGATTGATCACAGGAGGCTCTGTGGCCATGATCCTCACCATAAAGGGCTGGGACAAGATGTAGATCTCTGCAATCTGCCCATATTCCGAAAAAGAAATAAAGTCTGTGAGACATGAGTTGATGAAGGGAAATCACAAGGTTAGAATGGCCTGTGGTGACTAAATCTTACATTGTGCAGTTAGAATAGAAAAGAAGCTCTTTAATAATAATAACAATTACACACAAAAATCAAACGATGATAACAATCGGCAGTAACTGGACACAATACTTGATACTACCCACTGTGCCAGGGGCTTAGTGTATTATCACATTTAATCTTCACAAAATCCCTGTGAGGCAGATTCTATCAGCATCCCTGTTTTATAATGGAGAATGTCTTACAGAGGTTGACATTCTCAAGGTTCTAGGGGAATAAGTGGTAGAACTGGGATTCAAATCTAGGTCTGGCCTGGGCCCAGTGGCTCACGCCTGTAATCCTAACACTTTGGAAGGCTGAGATGGGTGGATCACTTAAGCCCAGGAGTTTGAGACCAGCCAGGGCAACATGGCAAAACCCTGTCTCTACAAAAAAAATAGAAAAATTAGTTGTGCATAGTGGCTCGTGCCTGTAGTTCCTGCTACTCATGAGGCTGAGGTGGGAGGATCACTTGAGCTGGGGAGGCGGATATTGCAGTGAGCCAAGATCATGCCACTGCACTTCAGCCTGGACGACAGAGTGAGACCCCATCTCAAAAAAACAGACAAAAACAAATCTAGGTCTCTCTGACTCAAGATCCTTGCTCTAAAACCAGGATGCTACATGAACATCTCTTTCTTCCAGGGCAATCCCTAGCTTGTAGGTTCATTATGTTCAATACTTAGTGTGTTATGAAGGCACAATATTAACAGCTACTTTACTAAAGTTACAAGTGTGTGCACTAATCCTTCCTTTAAGAATTAAATCCTCCATTTACATCAATAAATCCTTTATTTAAACAAATTATTTCAAGTGTGGTGGAACATTGTGAAAGGCACAGGTGATTTATTTTGGGAACTTACAATTATACTCTAACTTGTGTGCTCATTGCACTTCAACCTGTACTGTTCAGTAAATATTTCTGGATGTTTGATAAAGAGAAAAAACTCCCAAAAATAGACAGAGGGGCTTAAGCATGGACCAAAAATGAATACATAGAACTCACAAGTCTTGCAGAAGTAATTGCAGTGGAGTCTATCAAAATTGCAGTTTGAGTCTATCAAGACTCAAACCCTGAGCACTTACCCGGGAGAGCACATTGCCAAGGCCTTGAGAGTTTTGAACAAAATGGTTGGAAATCTGGAAAATAAAGTCCACCCGATGTCACTGTTAGGATTTTATCTGGATTGTCTACTCAGGGAAAAATGTAGTGTTCCCTATAATTTTCTGAATTGTGAAGCTGTTACACCATAAAATATTCAGTGTTTAAAGGTGACCCATCATTTTATAGCCCAATCATAGGGAATCCAAGGTTCAGGGAAGTAAAGAGACTTGCCCAAGGTCACACAGGAAGTTATATTTCTTTTAACTCTGGGAACGATAGTCTATTGTTAATAACTGTAGAGTGTTTACACATGAATTGTATGTATATAATATAAGAATTTTTTATTGATACATATATATGTATAACATTCTCTGTGTACATATTCTACAGTCATTAACAATAAGTCTTGTGTTATTGTCCTCACTTTTAGGGATTACTGAGATACAGGATGCTTACATAATTTACCTTTGCAGATGCATGATTTTCAAGTCTGCAGCTCCTAGAATCAGCTAATTCTCAGCATAGTAAGGTAGCCACTGCTGCAATACTTACCATTTTGAACATAAGCATTATAATTACTTATATCATTAAGATATAGAATGAGAAGATTCAAAAAGAGATGCTCAACAAAAGTTTTTAGCTGACTGGCTAGAGACAGTGCTGTCATTATAAAAAGGAGGTGCATGACAGAGAGTCAATGAATATCTGTATTATTACTGATCATTGTAGATAAACCAGCTATAATTGCAATGAGGATAACTCTTTATGTTAGCATAATACAGGGAATGATGATGATGATGATTAAAAGCAACAGTTATATTGCACTTATTCTGTATTGGGCATTGATCTGAATGCTTGACATGTATTTAAACCTTGTAATGCCCACATAATCTCTGAGTATGGAATTATTATTATCTGCCTTTTCCAGATGAAGAAATCCTGGCACATAGAAGTTAAATAAAGTGAAATTACCTCTAAGGTCACAGGCAATAAATGATGGAAAGGGGTCTTGATATTATCTGAGATTAATCTAGAACAGTGGTAAGTGGTGAAGTATCATGAAAAGACAATTTTAGCAGAACTGGAAACTTGACAAATCCCCGGCTAATACATCTAGAACATCCATAATCTGAATATCTGAAATTCAAAGTGCTCCAAAATCCAACTATTAAATGCTAACATGGTACTCAAAGAAAATGTTTATTGTAACATTTTAGATTTTGTATTTTTGGATTAGAGCTGCTCAACTGGTAAGTATAAATAATGAAAATATCCCCAAATCTGACAAAATCTGACATCCAGAATCCTTCTGGTCCCAAGTATTTTGGATAAGGGATGCTCAACTCGTAACAATGTTTATTCCACAATTCCTTCATTTCTTCACTGTCTTGTTGGGAATGATAGCCTAAAAAGGCCCAGGAATCGAAATTATGATATAAAAATCCTGTAACAGGATACTTATAAAAAGACTGAATGATGGTGCCCATTGACATCCTCAATTAACTTTCCTCACCTCTTTGGTGGAGAGAGTGACATTGAAAGCTCCAGCTGTGAAATAAGCAAATGATGCAGATTTAAAGAAATACTCGGCAATTCCAATGTAGAGCATGGAGTTGCTGCGTTCTGGGAGCACAAAAGGAACTGGTGAGAAGTAGGGGTCAACGAGGTTTTCCAATGGGTAGAATACACCCTGGGAGAAAACAGAGAGAAAGACCAGTGTATTAGGTGAAAACTCAAATTCTAAGACTAAGAAGGTTGACTCTCTGAAGTCAGAATAATTCCAGAAGCTTGGGCCAAGCATGGTAGCTCATGCCTATAATCATAGCATTGAGGTGTGTGGATCACTGGAGCCCTGGAGTTTGAATTGATTGAATGATTGTTTTTCCATGATCAACCTGGGCAACATGGCAGGTCCCGTCTCTATAAAAAATACCAAAATTAGCCAGGTGTGGTGGCATGCACCTGTAGTTCCAGCTACTTGGGAGGCTTGAGCCAGGGAGGCTGAAGCTGCAGTGAACTGTGACTGTGCCATTGCACTCCACCCTGGGTGAGAAAGGGGGACCTTGCCACAAAGAAGAAGAGGAAGAAAGAAGGAAGAAGGAAGAAGAAGGAGAAGGAGAAGGAGAAGGAGAAGGAGAAGGAGAAGGAGAAGAAGGAGAAGGAGAAGGAGAAGGAGAAGGAGAAGGAGAAGGAGAAGGAGAAGGAGAAGGAGAAGGAGAAGGAGAAGGAGAAGGAGAAGGAGAAGGAGAAGGAGAAGGAGAAGGAGAAGGAGAAGGAGAAGGAGAAGGAGAAGGAGAAGGAGAAGGAGAAGGAGAAGGAAAAGAAGGAGAAGAAGAATTATTCTAGAAACTCAGTAAGGATTAAAAACTGATAAGGCCTTCTGACTTCTTGACCAGTGACTATATTTCAAAGCTCGGATGATTCTTGAGCATACTTAGGTGTATCTGTTCACCCCAGGGTATAATCCAATGAGAATCCTTGTTCGAACGTTTCTCAGACAAAAAAGGAGGTGCATTTAGCTGGAAGGACACCTCTGACTAGTTCTTGAGGTGCCATGTGGTAGTATCAAGCACTTGACCTTCAAAATCTGTGTCTGCTGAGTACCTGAGGAATCATAGAAAGAAGAAGCCAAGAATCCAAATGGTTTAAAGCATTTTTGTGGCATTTTTAGCACTGCTCTTGTTAGCTATAGGGTGTTATTACAAAATCCTATCTTGTCCAACATTGAACTGAGTTGAAAGACTCTGGTGAGTGAAATATAAGCCAATATGCACTTTAAAAGACAATGATATTAGCTTTGGGGCAAAATTAAACATAAGCACAATGATTGTTTTTCTGTGATCAGTGAATACTGTTTCCATGTGCATAATTTCCGGTTAAATCCACTAACCTGACACTTAGGAATAGAAGTGCCAGTGTGTAGCATCTACTGATGTGTTAAATTCCAATAAATGTAGACCACTCTACTTGCTGCCTCCTAACCTCAAACCTACTCCTAGAGGCAAAGACATATGATACTTCTGAAGAGGGCAGACATATGTTGTACAATACAATCATTTGCCTATCAAGAAAACATTCAAGAGTCTTTTGAAAAGGTGTAAACATGAGGGAGTTGCATGAAAGAAAATTAAATTATTTGAAGAGTACGTATGTGTATTTCCTTCTGTACATAATCATTTTTTTTCTTTTTTTGAGATAGAGTCTCGCTCCGTCATACAGGCTGGAATGCAGTGGTACCATCTTGGCTCATGCAACCCCTGCCTTCCAGGTTGAAGCGATTCTCCTGCCTCAGCCTTCCAAACAGTGGGGAATACAGGCATGTGCCACCACACCTGGCTAATTTTTGTGTTTTTAATTGAGATGGGGTTTCACCATGTTGGCCAGGCTGGTCTCAAACTCCTGGGCTCAAGTGATCCACCTGCCTGGGCCTCCCAAAGTGCTGGGATTGCAGGTGTGAGCCACTGTGCCCTGCCCATAATCACTGTTTTCTTAATATTGGCTGTTGACAGCCAGGCTGAAGATTCTGAGGATGATAAAGTTACCTTCAAGTTCAGGTCAAGGTAGTTCTCAGTAATTTCTGGAGAACTGATTAGTGAGTAATCCAGCAAAGTGTAGTTGTCAATCTTGGTTAAAACTAAATAACCAACAAAGAAAAAAGAAAATCCATATTCATTAAAAGCATAGTATAATATATGAATGATGTCTATCTAGAACAATATAATTTTAAATTCTCTGTTTAAAAGACAAATTCCTGCTTTTCATAAGTAATACATGTTATCTTTTGAAAACCCAGGAAAAGTAGATAAATCAAAAGAAGAAAGTGAACACTTTTTCTAATCATATTACTCTGAGAGAACCATCACCACAATTTTGGTTTGCAGTGGTCCCCCTCATCTGCAGGGGATATGTTCCAAGACTCACAGTGGAAGCCTGAAACTGTGGACGGTGCCAACTCCTATATACACTGCAATAAAAGGAACGTGAATGTGAATGTGGTTTCTCTTTGTCTCAAATTCACATTTAGATATTGAATATTTTTAAACCACGTTTGACCATGGGTAATTCAAACTGCAGAAATCAAAACTGCAGATAAGGGACACACGCATATAAACACACAAAATGCATGTATAGTTGTTGTTTTTCTTTTCTTTTTTTTGTGTGTGTGTGTGACAGAGTCTCACTCTGTGACCCAGGCCAGAGCGCAGTAGTGCAATCTTTGCTCACTGCCACCTCTGCCTCCTGGGATCAAGAGATTTTCTTGCTTCAGTCTCCTTAATAGCTGGGATTACAGGTGCCCACCACCATACGCAGCTAATTTTTGTATTTTTAGTAGAGATGGAGTTTCACCATTTTGGCCAGGCTGGTCCTGAACTCCTAATCTCAAGTGATCCACCCATCTCAGCCTCCCAAAGTGCTGAGATTAGAGGCATGAACAACTGTGCCTGGCCCTATATAGTTTTTTTTTTTTTTTAAGGAAGTTAGTACAAATACAAAACTTAAGTCAACATTTAGCTGTACATATTGGGTTGTTATAATGAAAGACTTTTCATTTGCATGTTATAAATTGCAGTTAGAACTTCATTTTTTTTTACAAGGAGTATGCACTACTGTTGTCATTAAAATATTTCTAATAACAGATTGTGTGAGAGAAAATAAAATTCACTAAATTGGAGAGGTCAAGGAAATTCTTATGCATAGTGCTATTAATTCAAATAACTTTATGTGTTATCATTTTCAGAATAAAGCAGAAGTCAAGGGGACCAGGGTACAGTGCTGGGTGAAGCTCTGGGTGAAGTTCCAGAAAGCACAGATTTTAGTGTCTGAAGCTAGTTGTATGTGCAGTGACGCGGGGCTCAGGTTTCCCATTTGGCTTTGGAGAGCTGCTCTCCTGATCACCATCACGTGTTCTACAGTATGAAGATCTACTCCTTGTTCTACAGAAAGTTACCTGAGCATCACGTCTTCTCTATTCTTGCATGCCACAGAGGGAGATGAAAAGCAAGAAAAGATGAAGGATCTTGCTAAGATAAAGGAACAATATTATCCTAAGCCACCATCATTTTTATTTTTCACCTTTTTTTGTTTTGAGAGAGTCTTGCTCTGTCAGCCAGGCTGGAGTGCAGTGGTGCGATCTCGGCTCACCGCAACCTCCGCCACTCAGATTCAAGCAATTCTTCTGATTCAGCCACCCGAGTAGCTGGGATGAGAGGCATGTGCCACCATGTCTGGCTAATTTTTGTATTTTTAGTAGAGACAGGGTTTCACCCTGTTGGCCAGGCTGGTCTTGAACTCCTGGCCTCAAGTGATTCACTTGCCTCAGCTTCCCAAAGTGCTAGGATTACGGGTATGAGCCACTATGCCTGGCTATTGCCACAGTTTTTAAAATGCTTTTAAGTCCTAAATCTGAGGGAAGCAGGACAGTAATCATTTCATGGGTGAGGTGAGTGAGGCTCAGAGGTAAAGGAACTTGCTCAAGGAAAGCTAGAACATGGGAATTCTTGGCTATTTCTTTCTTTACTACATCTCTTTTTCTTTCCCTACATCTCCAATCCCTTGTATTTCTTTCATCCATCTGCATCCATTTATCAGTCGAATATATATATTTATATATATTTATATACTCCCAGACTGGAGTGGAGTGGCATGATCTTGGCTCACTACAGCCTCAACCTCCTGGGTTCAAGTAATCCTCCTACCTCAGCCTCCTCGTAGGTGGGACTACAGGTGCATGCTACCATGCCTGGTTGATTTAAAAAAAAATTTTTTTTAAAATAGAGACAAGGTCTCACTATGTTGCCCAGGTGGTCTTAAACTCCTGACCTCAAGCAATCCTCCCACCTTGGCCTCCCAAAGTGCTGGGATTACAGGAGTGAGCCACTGCACCTATATTTCTTAACCTAATGGGCTAGGTGTTGTGCCTGATGCTGGGAGCACAGAGGTGAGTCAAAGTTCCTGAACCCAAGGAAATCATAGTCTTGGCGAGGAGACAGATGTATCAATAGGAAATTATAATACAACATAGCAAGGGCTGATCTGAACTGAGCTCCTGATGGCCCTGCTACAAACTTGTTCTTATGTTCTTTCTCATCTCAGTAAATGCTAAATCTGTTCTTCCAATTTTCCAGTTGCTGAGGGTTTTACTCACCAAAGTCACCCTTTCCTCCTCTCACGACACACATTTGATCTGTTGGACAAATGCCACTGTCTTGACCTTCGAGGTATTTCCAGAATCCCAGCATGCCTTACCATCTTCATCACTCTGCCCTAGGCCAGCCAACATCATTACTTGTGTGGGTCACCATACTCATCTCTTAAACAGTCTCTTTGCTTTCGACCTTGACCCCCTTCCTGTTTATTTTTAGCACAGAAGCCAGACTGACCTCCCTAAACTGTAAGTTAAGTCATGCCGGCCTTACTCTTCAAAGACATCCCATCTTAGTCTAAGGGGTGGACTTTGCAGTCCCTACACAGCCCTGAAGATCAAACCATCCCTTTTCCCCATCTCTGGCCTGCTTTCCCCAACCCCTGCTCCTAGTGTGTCCTCACAGCCTTCCCAGCACACTTGAGATATTCAGCTTCAGGGTCTTTAAAGTGCTTGCTGTTTCCTCAATCTGGAATCTTCATCTAGATTGAACAGCAGCTCACTTTCTACTCCACTTGGGTCCTTCACCTGTTCAGTGGTGGCTTTCCTGGTCACTCTCTCTAGAATGGAAATTCCTCTCCAGCTCCTCCACTGCTTTATTCTTCTTCTTACCACTTATCACTGCCATAACATAGATTTTACTTATTTAACTTGCTTGCTGTCTGTCTCCTCCCACTAGTCCCATGAGGGCAGGTATGTCTGTTGCCTAGAAATACTGCTGCATCTCCAGCACCAAGAACAGTGCTCAGTCTATTTCAGGTGCTCAGCATGCCACTGGTGAATGAATGGATGGAGTGCAAAGAGAGAGAGAGCTGTCCAAAGTATCATGTGAGCATAGAAGAGTCATAACTTTATGGAGTGGGGGCTCTCAGTCAAGGTTTCCTTGAAGAGGCTGTGCCTGAACTGAGTCTTAAATATAAAGAGGGATAGAGAATGGAAAGGATTAAATCCTCCAGGGTCTAGCACAGTGCTGGCTAAACTGCAGGTTTAGAAATGGGCACTCAACACATATCTGTTAAAGCAGTGGTCCCCAACTTTTTTGGCACCAGGAACCAGTTTAATGGAAGATGATTTTTTCCTGGGGACTGGGGTTGAGGGGATGATTGCGTGATGAAACTGCTCCACTTCAGATCATCAGGCATTAGATTCTCATAAGGCATATGCAATCTAGATCCCTCGCATGAGCAGTTCACAACAGGGTTTGCACTCCTGTGAGAATCTAATGCTACCACTGATCTGACAGGAGATGGAGCTGAGGCAGTAATGCTCAGTTGCCTGCCCACTGTTCACCTCCTGCTGTGCGGTCCAGTTCCTAACCAGTCTGTGGCCCAGGGACCGGGGACTCCTGTGCTAAAGGAATGAAAAGATGGAGGCGAGAGGAAACTCTTCCAGGCAGAGAAGACAGCAAAAGCAAAGGCAAGGGGCGAGGAGAGCAGTGGAAGCAGTTTGATTGCTGGGGCAGAGAAAGGTAAAGAGAAAAATGAAGTAGAGAGAGGTAAGGAGGAGATGGGGGGTGGTGAGTCTTGTGGCCCATGCTAAGGTGCGTGGACTTGATGCTCAGGGCAGCCACTGCAGGCTGAGGACCCGAGAATAACCTGGTCAAGATAAGTGTTAATCCCTCTGAAGAGGAGGAAGGTAGTGCTACAGCTTGGGTTAGTGCTCATGAAGGTTGAATTCCTGGACCGACCTCTCATCCTCTGGAGCTACCCGTCTTGCAGCAGTGAAGTTAGTTATTAATCAAAGAGTGCATGCCCTATGCACAAGGCATGCCCTCCCATGAACCTTTCTGGGGCTCTAATTTGCAGAATATGAAGCAGGATGAAGAGCCTGAACTATACTGCCTTGTATAGCAAACCCAGAGAGCGCCAGCTTCCGAAGGTGGGAAGACAACCATCTGGAAAAGACAGTTCTAAGACTCACCCTCCAGTGTGCTGAGGTTGGCATTCAGTGCTTCGACTTCATTTGCAATAATGGGACAGAGCTGGCCACAAAGGAATAAAAAATAAAAGTTACCATGTTGTACTGGAAACCCTTACTGATGGACCTAGACCCTGCAAACAGAGGCCTTCCGCTTAGCGGTCATGATTCCTTTGGTCATCAAGACTTTCCCTTAAATTTGTTGGTGTCTATGGGGCTCACATTATGTAGGTATGGGTGGTATGTCACTGAATGCCAGCTCCACTTTGTAGCAACTGGGACTACACCCAGTAAGCCCTGTAAGGAGCGCGTGAGCCCTTGGCTTTTCTCCCTGTGATGTGATAGGGCATGTGCTCCAGTCCATGCATTACAGCTGAGGAACCTGTTGCTGGAGCGGCTGTGTCTTTCCTCACTGCTGGGGGTGCTGCCAGCTTGCCGTCTCCTCTCGGAGCAGCGGCATGTCCTGCCTTGAATGGTTGGAGCTGAAGCTTTTACTTTCTCCCTGGGCTAGATGGAGAGTACATTATATCAGAAATCTATTTTGAGATCTATTTTGTTGCCACCTTTTTGGAATTTGAAAATTAGCCTTGAGTCAGACTGATGTTTTGCCTGGAATGAGAGGGCATAGGTATCAGCACTGACGTGTCTCTTGTGTGCTCATTGATGTGATTAGCATAGTGGTTCCAGCAGAGGCTTGGGTGCCTGGGGCCTAGAGTTGAATTCGTTGGCAAGTTACTTGTACTCTTTGATCTCAGTTTCCACATCTGCAACATTTGCATGGGGGTAATAATTATATCCACCTCATCAAGTTGTTGTGAGTAAAAATGGAAGTAATTCATGTAAAATTGCCCAGCTTATAGTAGGCATTCAATAGGTCTTATCTGTTGTTGTTTTAGCCCCATTTCGTCTTCACTACAGCCTTGAGTTGGGGGGCATGACTGTCTTCTGATTACAGACGGGAAAACCAAAGCTTAGAGAGGTTAAGTGAGTTGCCAGGTGTTACATAACTAGGATTTGAACTCTGGTCTTACACAGCTCGACAGCTGTGGTCTCAGCATTCTTTTCTATCTTGCAGTGGCACAGAGAGAATCATGGAAGCGTCCGTTATCTTTAAGCCATATATCAATTTCAGGCAAACTTAATTATTGGCTTCTGTGACATAACTCATTCTTCACTGGCCTCCTGTCAGAGGCCAAAGGACCATGCCTCGATTCAAACAGTGGAATGATCAAGTCTGGGTGCTTGAGGATGACAGTGCACTTTGCCAGGGAGTCTGTAATGTGCACATTCATTGGCTCTCAGCATGTCAGGTAAGGATAGGGAAGGACCGTAAGGCTTCAGCATCCTGGACAGCTGTGCCACCTCCCAGGATGAGCTGCTTGAGGCTTCTGAGTGTTGATTTCCTTGCTGACTTTCATTAAGCACCTAATGTCTGTCAAGCACCGAGCTGAGCACTAGAGAGATGGAGATGGCCAGACACCATCTTTGTCCCTTCTTTTCCAGAAGAGTCTTCCTTCTTTTCTAGTCCTCCTCATCCCTCTTCTTATCTCCCCCAAAATATAGGTAAAGGGTTCAGGGAAGGTGTGGCCAGGATTGGAAAGACAGTGAATAGCCAATTCCATCTTTCCCTTCTTCAGACACTGACTTTTGAGATTGGAAGACTTAGAACTTTGGAAGGTACCTTAATGGATTCCATTTTCTTAACTTAATCCTATTGTATTTCCTGAAAATATCTTTTCATATCCTTCATTCCTTACATACACAAATCCCACCTATACCTTAAGATCTAGTTCAAGTTCTGCATCCTCTAAAAATTATCTCCCAGGACACTTCCAGGCCCTATTTCTTTACAACTTTCTATTTCTCTGAACCTCTCCTGTTCCATCTAATGATCGTGTAACTACGTACTGAGTTCAAGCACTCAGTTAGTTATTGTTTCAGAAGCCCGAATTTGTTTTTTCTGAATAGACAAGTTTATCCCTTTTTCCTGTTCCCAACAGACCCTACCATGGTAGCTGGGCATGCAATAGGTACATAGTAAGTAAATTCCTGTTGGTTGTTTGCCCACCCTATGGTAAGAAATCTGAGAGCTGTGCTGTTGTTTTCTTTATCTCTGCATCCCCAGCACCTACCACCATGTTTGACACCTGGTAGGGATTTGAGAAACCGTTATGAAGTTGAAAAGGATACTTAATGTATGTGGAAGTGCCTTGGATAGTTCCTAACACACAGTAGGTGCTCAATAAAGGTTCCTTACTAAGAATTAATTAACGGATGATAGAACTGCTACTGATGGCATTTTACTGTGGTTGTCTAACCTCTAAAGACTCACCATTTCATTTAAGTTCTTTAAAATGGGTTTCTCCATGGGCTCAGCAAATGAGTTATACAGGACACTGTGGAAAAAATGAACAAAAGAGGTTACTTGGAGACCATACTCGGCCATTTATAAACCTTTCCTAGGCGATGCCTGAATATCCAGCCCCTGACTAGACACGGTCCAATCCGGGGCTCTCACTCACCTGAGTTCTCCGGAAAATGAAATGTGGGCATGGCTCACTTGGGCATAGCAATCTTGGAGCTTCAGGATAGGATGACCAAAGTTGTTTCGGGTTAGAATAATGATACCAGTAAAGTAGACGCCGGACAGAAACAGATCAGCTCCTCCTGTGTCTTGGCTGTTTAGAGAAAAAGTGCGAGGTTATCTAAGCCTGAGTCAGGCACAGAGATGGATCTTGTTTCTCTGACTACCCGGAGACTTTATGCTCCTGGACTGCAGTGACTTTGTCATGCTCACTTCTGACTTCCTTGCACCTACAACAGGTAGGAGTAGAGTAGGTGCTGAATGAATATTTACAGAACAGATGAAGTACTAAGTATGTGAAAGCTAACAGCTGTTGGGACATTCTAATTATTTCACCCTGAGTGCTCTGGCCCTGGCAATGAGCGAGCTTGTACTGAGTATCCTTCGTATACAATGTTTGGGGAGAGAAAATAACAAGTAAGATTGGCAACGCTTTATTCAGGAGGGGCACAGATGAGAAAGTAATGCTTAGATGTAGTCTGTGAACTTGTTGAGGGAGTGGATTGTGTGTTACTTATTTCCATGTTCACAAGACTTAGCATGCAGCCTGACACAGAGTAGGTACTCACTATATGGTTGACGAGTCATTGAATAAATGAATGAATACATGAACCTATGTTGCTGTGGGGAACATGCCATTTCTCTACAATCTATAAGACTGGAGTTCTTGAGCTGGGGATGAATGGTACGTAGTAAGCACTCAGTAAATGGTTGTTGACTGACTTCGTGGATGAATGAACATGTTATCCTGTGGCACCAACCAAGGCAGACCTAAACATTACACTCAGAATAGTGGTTTACACATCGTAGCTGGCCTGTAAAAGTACCTTGAACCTGATCCCTTTCTTCTATACAAGGGTACGAAGGCCTTTCAGTTGGGCTTGGCCTTAAGCTGACTACCATCCTTCAACCTTCAACCTCTGTGTGAGGTAGGAAGTCTCCATTTCCCATTAGTTACTCCTGCAGATGGGGAAGTGCATTGAACGACTGGCTCAAGATCATGCAGCGTTTGTGGGTGGATCTACAATGCTGAGCATGGATCTGTTTCTCTGATAGTCAGGGACTTCTAGTTCTTAGAGAATCTCAAATGACATTTGATCATTGGCTCTGCCTCTGAGGGAAGAATGTTTTTCACCCCGACTCCCTAGCAGGGATTTCCTAATTTAAACCTCACCTGGAAAAAAAAGATTTTAAGAAAGATTGTTAATAGCGAGGGAAAGAAGCCCAATGCCAAAAACATTGGCGAATTTCTACATTTTCCATTTTGCTCCACATTCTCCCAGAACAGCTGCAGACATGTCAGTGGAATACTCACAAAATTGGAGACTTGAATTCCCAGTCCGTGCTGATGTTGGCAGTGCCATGGTTGGTTAGTGCTTTGATTCCCACCCCAGGCACAAAAGCCAGTGAGGTATTTGGAAATGAAAAGGCATTGATTTTTATACTGTAAAACCAGAAACAGAAGTTAGGGCAACTCTTCCAGCACATCTCTTCATTCAAGCAAACTTGGGAACACAGTTGTAGAACTCTTACCACTGAGGCCACTGTGAATTCCTACAGAGAGAAGAACCTCCTGTCTGCAGGGCCGTCTCTGGGCACTGCCTCCTAATTCTCCTCAAACTCTTAGCAGGAAGTCCCTCGAATCCATTTGATGAGGGAAATAGGCAAGCTTAGAAATATATATATATGTATAATTTTTCTTCTCTCTCTCTTTTTTTGTTTTTGAGACAGGGTCTCATTTGTCACTCAGGTTGGAGTGCAGTGGGGCGATCATAGCTCACTGCAGCCTTGAACTCCTGTGCTCAGGTAATCCTCCTGACTCAGCCTTCCAAATAGCTGGGTCTTCAGGCATGTGCCATCACACTGGGATAATATATTTTATTTTTTTGTAGAGGCAGAGTCTCACTATGTTGCCCAGGCTGGTCTTGAAATCCTGACCTCCAGTAAGCCTCTTGTCTCAGCCTCCCAAAGTGTTGGGATTACAGGCCTGAGCCACCTCACCTGGCCTAGAAACACATTTGTAACTAATCAAACAATCTACTTCTTTAGTTTATCTAAAGACAAAGAGAGGCACAACGTTGCCATCATTATTTTTCCTTCAGCAGTTCCAGTGTTTCACAAAAGGGGTGATATTCGTATTTTGCATGTCACAGCTTTTTTCATAGAGGACCGTCCCACGTTGCAGGACATTTGGTGCACATGCCAGCAGTGTCCCTCCCCACCTGTCATTGTGACGATCAGAAACATGCCTTCCTCTTGTTTCCAAATGTCCTCTATGTGGATAGTATCTCCGCTAGTGGAGAAAGTTAAAGAATTGACTTCCCCTAGGATTCTCTGGACTGTCAAAAGGGTAACCAGGAGGCAGCGAGTTGCATGTAATCTGCAAAGGTACATGGCCACATGCATCATAATAAATTATTATGAACATCTCTTGAGTGAGTGCTACCTGCCAGGCATTGTGGTAAGCGCGTTCCATGCGTTAGCTCTTTTTAACTCTCACAACAATCCTGGGAGGCAGGTGCTGTTTTTGCAATCCCCATTTCAGAGATAAGGAGATAACAAAAGTGGCTGAAGTCATGTGTAAGTGGCAGAACCAGACCCGGAACCCTCCCCAGTCTGACTTCAGACTGTACTCTTCACCACAAGGCTATGCTACTTCACACAGCATGCAAAGAGTGCTTGGCTTGGAGCCAAGTTTAGTACCAGCTGTAAAAACTTGGGCAAGGCACTTAACCACATTCAATCACTCAAAAGAAGTGCTACTCACAAGTGGGTTGGGGAGACAAAATGATTTCATCTGTACATAATTACTGCACCCAAGAAAGGCATTGTTGTAAATGAAGATCAGGAAAAATCCCAAACATAAATGTAATAGCTGATAAGAAACAATTATTTGCTTTTCCTCTCCGATGCGTCCTTTCCTACCTATTCTCTGTCACACACCCTGAGTCCCACTGTGGGAAGTGGAAGGCAGAGATTCATTGACTATATCTCAGAAATATTTTCCTTTGATACATGCAGATCTAACCAATTCTTCCTAACTGCTGCAGAGCATTTCAAACAGTGGATGTACCATTTCAAAAAAAATCATTCCCATGTTGGTGGACATCTAGGTTCTTTCTACTACTTCTGTATTATTATACACAGCGTCGCAGTCAACATTCTCACTCACACTGCTTATGTATATGTGCTTCTCTAAGAAGGATGCTGAGAAGTGGAATTGTTGGGTCAAAGAGCATATATATGTTTTTAATATATATACAGACATACACATATGATTGCATACTGTATTTTGACTGTCCCTTTTCTATGACTAAATATTAGATGCACAAGTACTTACTACTTGTACTACAATTGTGTTACAATTGCCTACAATATTCAGTGCAGTCACATGTTATACAGGTTTGTAGCCTAGAAGCAATAGGCTATTTCATATAGCCTAGGTGTGTAGTTAGCTATACCATCCAGGTTCGTGTAAGTACACCCTATAATGTTTGTGCAATTATGAAATGACTTAATAAGGCATTTCTCAGAACATATTCCTATTGTTAAGCGATGTATGACAGTAATTTAAAATCTTGTAGTAATCACATTTTAAAAAGGGAAGAGAGGTGAAATTAATTTTCTTAATATTTTTACTTAAGCCAATATATCCAAAACATTGTCATATCAATATATAACTGATATAAAAATTACTAGTGAGATATCTCATTTTCTTTTTTTAAAAAAGTAAGTCTTCAAAATCTGGTTTGTATTTTATACTCGTGATACACCTGAATTCAAACAATGGATTTTATGAGAGATACATGACCTATACCTGTTTCAGTATCCCAAATCAAAAAATTTTAAGTGCTGACATGATACTCAAAGGAAATGCCCCTTGGGGGTGCTGAACTGGTAAGTAAGTATAATGCAAATATTCCAAAATTTAAAAAAATAAAAAATTTGTTGTCCATCTTGTCCCAAGCATTTTGGATAAGGGATACTCAACCTGTGTTTAGATTTGATAACATTTCAGGCGAAAAAGTAAACTTACAAAATTGTTCCAAACATACTTCAAAGTTTTTCAGCAGCCAAACTGAGCATCAGATTTTTATGATTAAAATTATTAAAAATTAAATAAGTAAAAATGTATTTCCTCAGTTGTATTAGTTGCATTTAGTGTTTAATAGCCAACTGTGGCTAGTGGCGACTGTTTGAACAGCACAGGCCTACAATTACTGTATTGGTTTATCTACCCCCTCTAGCAATGTATGAGAATGCCTGTTTTTCTCTATCTCCACCTACACATGATATTGTACAATTCTTCCTGTACTCTTCTGCTATGGTATTATGATTGTACTTAAGAAATTAGTTTTGTAAACATATATTTAACGTCCATCTCTCCCACTGGACTTTAACAGCAGGTATGTTGTTCACTACAATATCTCCTATTCCTTTATCTTTTTTTTTTTTTTTTTTTGAGACAGGGTCTCTCTGTCCAGGCTGGAGTGCAGTGGTGCAATCATGGCTCACTGCAGCCTTGACCTGGGCTTAAGTGATCCTTCCACCTCAGTCTCCCATGTCACTGGGACTATAGGTGTGCACCACCCTGCCTGGCTAATTACTATATTTTTGGTAGAGGTGGGCTTTTGCCATGTTGTCCAGGCTGGTCTCAAACTCCTGAGCTCAAATGATTCTCTCACCTTGGCCTCCCAAAGTGTTGGGATTACAGGCATGAGCTGCACCCAGCCTAATATCCCCTATTCCTAGGACAAGGCTTGGTATGTAGTAGGTGCTCAATAAATACTTGTTAAATGGCTAACTTTATACAGACCAGGGCATTAGCCAGGAACTTTACCTAAGTCATCATCTCTCTTACTCCTTGCCAAAATCTCTTGGCTTTATAAATGTTCTCACTGACAGCAGGGGAATGATCACTCCAAAGGGTTGGCGTAGCAAGGTATTATCGCTGGACTATTAAAGTTTTGGGGCAACTTGTGAGTCCCAGTCAGAGGGAATTCCTTAGAAAAGCTTTTGTTGATGTTGATTGTATTATTCATTTATTTATTTCTATTTTTATTATTATACTTTAAGTTCTGCTTGACTCTCCCTTGCTTTTTAAGACTGAGTTCCAGATGACAAAGCTATCCCCTCCTTATACTGCCTTTGGGACTTTTGCTGGAGACTATGAAAGACTGTCAGTTGGTGTCTTTGAATTCACTTTGTGGTAGACTTCCAATTCACTTTCTTTCTTAAACATCCCTGATTTTATTGGGAATGACAAAATTGTTTGGTTGGAAAACTAGTTTTCCAGTCTCCCTTGCTAATAAATGTGGCCATATTATTAAGTTCTGTCCATTGTTGGTTAGGCAGGATCTTATTAGGATAGAGATTCAGAAAAACTCATTAAAAAAGAAAGCTGACTCGACTTGTAAGAGCCTGTTTACCCTTGTCTCTTCTTCCTTTTAGCTACCTGAAACATGATTTGATGGCTGGAACCACAGTGGCCATATTGAGCCATGAGGCAAACTTGAGAGTAGAAACCAGGGCTAAGGATAGCAGAACAGAAAAATATAGGAAGGATGGGTTCTGATGAAATCATGGGGCATCCATAGAATTCCTCCATTGTTTCATTTGCGCTTCTTATAAGAGACAAAGTGCTCTCCTCTTTTACTTACTTTGAAAAATTGTAGTTCACATAATCAACCTTTAGAAATTCAAGAGACTCAGAACCGCTTAAATCTGGGAGGTTCTTTTGCCTTAGCATCTGCTCAATCATCTCCATTCCAGCTTGAACACCTGTGAAGAAACAATAAAGTATCTGTTGGTAATGACAAAGGTAATAATAATGTAATAACATTAACCACACAAATGAAATTTATTGAGTAAGACATGCCCTTAGATACTTAGAAAATGGCAACCCCACAAATATGGGTAATATTGTCCCTGGTTTACAGATGAAAACTGGTTCTCAGAGAGGCTAAGGAACTTGTCCAAGACTACAGAGCTAGCATGAGAAATTTTCATTATGTCGCGCGTACTAAAGAGTTTCATCACAGGACAGAATGAGAGGAAAAGTATAACATTTGCTTCAGGCCAGGAGCAGTAGCTCATGCCTATAATCCCAGCACTTTGGGAGGTGAGGCAGGGGGATCGCTTGAGCCCAGGAGTTTGAGATCAGCCTGTGCAACACTAAGACCCTGTCTCTACAGGGGAAAAAAAAATTAAAGATTAGCTGGGCATAATGGTACATGTCTATAGTACCAGTGACTCAGTATGCTGAGTTGGAAGGATTGCTTGGGTCCTGGAGGTCAAGGTTGCAGTGAGCCATGCTTGCACCACTGCACTCTAGCCTGAGCAATAAAGTGAAACCCTGAGCCTCAGAGGGGTTCACTGTTGCCCAAATCATACAGCTGAGAACTGGGGAAGCCAGTGGTCAAATTCAGACACGTTGGCTCCAGAATCTGTATGCTATGGCCAGTTCCAGGAGGTTATGCCACACTCTTATTTCCTTTCAAATTCTTTAAGTTCAAGAATTTTTGGCCTGAGGTTCATGGGCTGTAGGAAACTCTCGAATCACAGGAAATTCTAATAAAAAAAACTGTGAGTGAGTCATGAGTGCATATGTGTCTCATTTCTCGGGGGAGAGAATCTACATTTTCACCAGATTGTCAGAGGATCCTGAGATTTTTTAAAAAGTCAATAACCACTGCTTTTGTTTCACCCTGGAATAACCCCTCAGCTTCTTTATATGGAAGCATCACAGGACGGATTTCTCTGAGCTCACTGGGGAAAAGAGACCTTTCGCACGTTAAAGCACTGAGAAAAGTGATCTCCACAGTTGCCTTTATCCCTTATTTTGCATTTTAAGTTCCTTTCCAGTTATTCTATCCCTGTTGGGGATGATGAAGAGCAGGTTTTATCCTCTAAAATGCCAGAAAAAATATTGCAATATGGCGGTGCAAAGATAGATATGAAGGATGAGAAGCTAGAACCAAGGGCACTATCAGACAGCTTAGGTTTGAATCCCAACTTTGCCACTGAATAGCTTGTGAGACTCTGCAAGTTACATAGCTTCTCTGTCCCTTACTTTCTTCTTCTATGACATGGGGACATTAGTAATATTGGAGGGGTCTGTTCGCACAGTGAAAATGACAGTAGCTGATACTTGTGGGGCCATATTTGCTACGGCCAGACACCATTCTAAGCGCTTTGCATATGTTAATTCACTTATTTTCCACAACAATCCTATGGGCGGTACTATGATTCTCACATCCATTTTAATAAGTATCTTGCAGGTATTACTAATAATAGACACATCAGATCTCTTTCTAGGAAATGTGGGAGCATAAATCATTGATAAAATTCAAAAAATACCTAATTTGTATTGAGTGCCTATATATATGAGGACTCCATATACATTCTCTCCTCTCTCCTTGGGTCCTCACAGCAAACCAATGGTAAGGTGTTATTAACCCTGTTTCACATAGGAGGCAGCTGAGACTCAGGGAGGCCAGTAACTTGCCCAAGAGCCCACAGCTAGTGAGCAGCATTATCCAGAGCCTGGAGGAAGAGGGAGTAGATGATAGAATGTAGGTTTCAGTATTAGGCAGCACAGACCTGAGTTCACATTTGCCTGAGTCCCTTACTGCTGTGAGACTTGGAAAATGTCATATTCTTCCTCTATAAAATGACAACAGCTTCTTGTAGGGTCGTTTGTGGTATCAGATCAACACACAGCCCAGAAAGCACATTTAAAGAGCCTGGCCATGGTATATGCTCAAAAATGATTCTGAATTGAAAGCCTGCCCTTCTCCACTAACCCATGCCATATTGCCCATGGATGGGAATATGCCCATGGATGATCCCATTTGAGCCTTACCTCACACTAAGTGTAGGTAGGTAGGCACCATTTTTATCATCCTATTTTCCATATAAGAAAATCCACTGGCCCAAGGCCATATATCAAGGAAAGCGACAGAACTGACATTTACAAGCCACGTGGATAGACTTCAGATCTGTTCTTTTAATGACTCTGCTCTAGGGGGTGAAAAAGAAGCTTCACAACTTGAATACTGTTACAAGATATCTATTTCTGATATATATTTCTATGCACATCAGCACATCGGTATAGTAACAAGACACACATGTATATCCACACACATATATGCCTGGTACGTATTTCTATACATCATTGTTCACATAACATTTATGCAAGATGGCTCAATTTTAGATCACCTGCACTAGATGATGTACTAGGAGAGAAACTCCCTCATTTATTTATTTTTTTTTTCTGGCATAGTAGAAGCAGCATTTCTTGGTTAGGCTTAGTTAGGTATTACTTGGTTAGACTAGCAGTGCTTAGGTTGACTGCTTTAGTTAAAGAGGTTGAGAAAGATCCATCAACCTACTTTAGCTAATCTTAGGCAAAATTTCACAGGAGAAAATAGGTCCATATACTTTGATTTTGCAGTCTGTTCCCTCTCTGCAATCTTCTGCTCCCACCTCATCTTAGCCCAAGTTAAAATCACATCCCAACATTTGTCTCTCCCTAGTATTTATAAACGTTCTCTAAAGAACTGCCTTTTAACCTTTTGGTGTCTCAGACTCCTTTGCACATCCAATAAATATGCAGCCTCTCCTCAGAGAAATGCACAGTCACCCATATTGCATTTTAAGCCAGTTTTAGGGGATTCTAAGTCCCTTTTGAAACCAAATCCTTTCTGAAGCTCCAAGATGTTACTTTTACTTTCAAATCTTTTTTCCTCTATCCTATAAATGTGTTCTTACTTAGAACCCTCAGATGTTCATTATGTGTATACATGGGAAAGAGAGAGAGTGAGAATCTGTGCTGTTTGGACATGTCTCCCATCAAGTTGACTATTTTTTGGGCAACACTTTCTTCACAGCCATCTTAGCAGTTTCTGCAAAAGGTACTGGATCACCCTATAGTAGAGTTTGTCTCAGTTATGTGATGGCCCAAGTTATAAGCTGTTGAGTTTAGGTCACAGGTCCCACCTAGTGGGCCTGAGGTCTGCTTCTGAAAGTATCCAACTCACCATAGTCAAGTGCCCTCTGAGTAATCCTTGCCTTGATTCCAGGGTAAATGGTCTGAGAAGATGATATGTAGAGATTCCACAGGAGGAAACATCCCCAGAGGACTGGGATTATCTTTGTGCACATCTGAAATTAACTGACAGTTATGGTTCCTTTATTAGTCTTGACTTTCTCTTTGATCAATTAAATCAAATATTTATAGGTTTTCTCATTTTTATTGTTTACTTCCAGAACTCAATCCATCCATCCATTCATTCATCCATCCAACTATCCATCCATCCATCCATGATCTATCCATCCATCCATCCATCCATCCATCCACTCAACCACCCATCCATCCGTCCATTCATTCAGCAATTCATTTACTGAACATACCAGAATGTGTTCTAGGTGCTGAGAGTATGGTGTTGACCTACACATGGCCCCTGACCTACGTTTTTCACAGACTAGTGGTAAATATGCATCCTTTAGGGCCAGCTCCACGTCTCTCTCTGTGAAAACGTCCCTCACCAAGTCATTTTACCCTGTCCTCATCACACTCTTCTCTGGGATCCCACCACACTTTGCAGAATGCGTATGTGTCCATTAGAACACCTGACACACAATGTTGTCTGTTTGTAGGCAGGACTCCTCCTCTTCACTGCTACACCCAGATTCAAGCCAGAACCATTTCACATGGATTTTTGTGATAGCATCTTTACTGGTTTCCCTGCTTCAGCCATTGCTCCTTTCTGGCCATTCTCCACACCACAGCCAGAGTGAGCCTCTTAAAATGAAAGTTAGATCACGTTACTCCTTGCCCCCATTAACACCCTTCAGTGGTTCCCCATCTTAGTGTAAACACCAAAGTCGTTTCATTAGCTACAAGGTGTAGAGGGCCTTGTAGCTGATGGAATGACTCTGTGCCTCTACTTCCCCATTGACCTCCATTCTTAACACACACACCTGGCTCTGAGGGTCCCAGTATCACTGGCTAGCTTGATCTTTCTTGAATGATCTAAGTAGCCTGTACCCCAGGATCTTTGTATTTGGTGTTCCCTCTTCCTGGCATGTTCTTTCTCAGAGAACCAGGTCTTGCACTTCTTCAGATACCGCCTCAAGTGCCATCTCAGCAAAGTCTTTCCTAGTCACTCTATGCAGAACATGAACATCTTCCTGTGGCTCTTTAATGATGATTCCACCCTTGCTTTATTTTCTCCAAAGCACTTGTCTTCATCTAGGGTAGTATACAGTTACTAACGTGTGTATTGTCTGTCTCCTCTACTGGAATTTTTAGGCTTCATGGGGAAGGACTTCATCACTTCAGCACCTTGAATAGCGACTGGCACACAGTAAGCAATAGGGAACTACTGAATGAAAAAATGACAGAATGACAAAATGAATGAATGAATGAATGAATGAATAAACTCTCTTCACAAGCTGTGAATTGGGCCATGTGTGCCTTATGGGTTCTCCAGCACCTGGGAAACCCTTGATCTTAGTATACACTATCCGGTGTTGTGATTGCCTTTTTACTTGTCTACCCCTTTGTCATGGGGATTGTGTCTTACTTCTACAACTCCAGAGTCCATTAGCACATAGTAGGCATGCAAAAATTTTTGGTTAAACAGATGTTCTCTGCAAAAAGAGGGATCACTTCTTATTCACTGTTCTATCAGCCATGCTTGGCATGCATGAATAATCAATGTATGCTTGTTGAATTAATAGACCAAACAAATTAATGCCATCCCATTTTCTTGAGAGATCAAGCATGGGTACCAACAGCAGCAGTAATTTGGGTTTCTCTGAATGAAAATCAAGTGAGTAATACATTCACAGGCCTTGTTTTTAGCTTGGAAATTACAATCTGGGTGAGCTATCACTTCTGCATTCACACATGCAAAAGACTCACAGGTGGCAGATACCACTAAGATATCACACAAACATGAAACAAATCAAGGAAGGACCAGGAAGGTGACCTTGTGGATGTGGTCAAAGAGGAAGAAGTAGGCCAGGTGTGGTGGCTCATGCCTATAATACCAACACTGTTGGAGGCTGAGGCAGGAGGACTGCTTGAGCCCAGGAGTTTGAGACCAGCCTGTGCAACATGGCAGGACCCCATCTCTGCAAAAAATAAACAATTAGCTGAGTGTGGTGGTGCACACCTGTAGACCCAGCAACTTCGGAGGCTGAGGTGGGCGAATTGCTTGAGCCTGGGAGGTGGAGGCTGCAGTAAGCTGCGATCATGCCACTGCATTCCAGCTTGGGCAACAGAAAAAGACCCTGTCTTAAAATTAAGAGAGAGAGAGAGAGAAAACTGTGAGAGCCATGTGTTTAGACAGAGGGAGGGGTCAGACCAGGTGGTCAGGTAAGGATTCAGACAGGACTAGGCTTCAGTAGCAGCCTGGGTGAAGGAAAAGAGGTCATTGTAAAAGGTGGAGCACTCAGCTGAAGTCGGTGAGAGGTTTCATTAAGGGGGGTGGGTAGGCTTAAAGGTGAGGCCATGGAGGTGGGAATGGGGAAATGTAGATAAAGGGGACTTCTAGAGAATTTGCTTGAAAAGAACAGAGCAGCATGATTAGGGATGGGTGTCCAGGCAAGGCCGCTGCTAGCCTATATTGGGGTTTTGTGTGAAATAGGAAGGTGTCCCTCTGGAGAGATGCCAGCCTCTTGGCACAAAGTGGAGCCAGTGGAAAGCATTTTAGGAAAACCCCACACCAGTGTGTGCAGCTGGGTGGGAGGTAGAAGGGCTACCCTATGTACCCATTTGGCCAGAATTTTGTCTAGTGCACAAACTTCCCAACTTATACAGGGGCCCTGTGCTTAGCTTCGTGAACGCTCATGTGGGTATTTTGCTTGAGGCCAAAGGTTTAGAAATAGGGTCTTAACCTGTCTGTGCATAAGCTCATCTTCAAGTCTGAGAAGGCTGGCTGGGTCAACTGCTGACATCTCTCACCTGATCTCCCAGAAGCCCCTGTACTGGTCCCTAAACGCATGCCACGTTTTCTGCCTAATGCCATTGCCTATGTTGTTGCCCTCCATCTAGGCCTGGAGAAGCCCTGCACATCCCTAAGGCCCATTTAAAACACCGTCTTCTTTCTAAAGCCATTTATGACTTCCCTGAGCTAATTTCATTTCCTCTTGACCCCTTGATCAAAATACATATTTATTCACACGTGTATGTTTCTTTTCTTGCTTATTATTTGCCTTCCCTACCAGAATATAAGTGCGTGGAGGCATAGACTGCATCTGGTTTGGAAGTCCTAGGTCTGGCTCAGTGCCTGGGATAGAGTGAGTGAATGAAAAGTGTTGGTAGAATGAATCAATACATTAATAAATGAAGGAATATCCCTTACCTTACTCTATCATGTATTACAGTTCTTTGCAGAGATGGGTAAGCAAGTATTTATGTCTAGTAAACTGAAGGGAACCATCAAAACAGATGTCGGCCACAGTCCTGGAGCAGGGGCCAGGAATTTGAGGGCTAGATCTTGAAGGGGTGTCCAGGGTAGTTGGGGGTACTGGGAATAGGCGAGGAACACTCAGAGTAATGGCTTTTTACCATTAGCTATTAAGGCATTTTAATATTTTACCACTGATATGGCCTTATGAATCCAGTTTGAGATTTCAGCCCTGAAGAGTGGGTTTGGGTGCCACAGGACACATTACAGAAGGAACCCGAGCAGCAGCGTTGGGAGCAGAGCTAAGAAAGGATGACTTGAGGATGATCAGGGTGCAGACAGCACTAAGGAAAGCACAGGGAAGTGGAGAGCCGAGGAGAAGGGGTTTGGGTGGGAGAGGAGGATCTCTGGCCCAGCAACGAGTGATCTGAGGGTTGGAGGAAACGTGGTGGGTGGGACAAGGGAGTGTAAGGCCCTCTGTGTCCTGGGAGGCGGATTGATAGTCAAAGCATCTTAACACTCAGAATGGATGCCTGTACCTCCTGCAGGAACTAGGTCCAGCTGGTCTTCTGCTGTGCTGGGCCTTTCTTGACCCTTTAGTTGCCCCTGGGGGTTGGTCAAGGTGTCCTGGAAAGGGGGATTCGTAGAGATGAATTACAGGAATAGGGAGAACACTTCTGGGGCTCAGGTTAGTGGCTACTGACCCACCGGTATAGAAGCATTTCCACATTTTAACATATGGCGAGGCCAAACTGAAAAGCAGTCTTGTTAAAACCAAACCATTATACATTTCATATAGAACTCTCCATTTCCACAGTGAAAAAAAAAAAAAAAAACACAATAAACCAAAGAAGAGATATTACTTGTGAATAATAACTAAAATAATACATTTTTATTTCTTTGCCCTTTACAAAACTCACATTTCTTTGAAGTAGATGTTATTATTATCTTTCTTTGGTTTTAGCCACGTGGACATGGAGGCTTGGAGAATCTGATGACTAGGCCAAGATCTCACAGTAGGTAAGGCACCTGGAAACCCAACCTTGTTTTTCTGGTTCCTAATTCTAGTGCTGATGGATTTATTTTTATTGAATGACTTGATAAATGCTGGGGTTTTTATTTTCTTCTGGGAATGTTAAATAAGAGTTGATTGACACCATTTTCAAGATGGAAAAACTCAAGAAGCATCTAGAAATGTTCAAGCATCACAATGCAAACCCCTTCTTATTTTCACGGACACAACTGGAGTTTTAAACTCCTTGTCAGCAGCAAAACCTGTGTTCCCTTCTTGGTTAAAAAAAGTTTCTGAAGGGGTACACTTTGACAGAGATCCAGGAATCCAAAATTGCAGACAGGAAAACACATTTTTTTCCTCTAGAAATTTTATGAGTGAAAGAAATTACTGGGGCACGAAGGGGTGAACTGTACATAACTTTTGGTTGAATCGTTCAGTTAGGATGATAACTTATGGGCAGGGGAGGAAAGGAACCTTGTCAAGCAAGGTGATGACGACCAAAGGTTAAGTAATTTGGCTGACAAGTGCAGGCAGGGCTAGTTGCCTGTTAAAAAGGATCCACAATCACTTAACCCTGCCAGCAAGTTATCTATTTTGTTGCTTCTGGGGAATTGCTTCTTTCCAAGATTCAAAATCTCAGTAGTCATCATTTTTCCATACAAATATACAGACAGAATAATAATCCTAAATTAAATGGTTCTTGTGTGAGTCATCCTGACAACTAGGGATAAGAAAATGCCAGTCCAATTTAGAAAACACTTGACACTCACAGGTGGGCTTAATACTACTGCTCCTTGATAAGAGCTTTGACTGACTCTGGAAACACTGATTAAGGGAGTAATGAATGAGTAAAATGTAGCCTTCAAAACAGAGGCACAGGTTGAAAACTTAAGTTCAACAGGTTTAAAGAAGTCTAGACTAGAAGGGTATTCCAACATCTTGGTTAAGACAAAATGACCGTGCATAATAAATCGACGAGTATGGAATATGGGCAGAATATCTCAAGGGATCCAGTCCTCACATCTAGTTTTATAGCAAGATCTCTAATGACAAGGAGCTTGAGAATTCATACCCAGGTCTTTCCCCTATGCCTAACACCAACAAGTTCAACAATCCAGGCAAGTGGGTGGATAGTTTTGCTCTGGCAGCATCTAGGTCACCGATGTACTTTAAGACCTGCCTTGAAAGCGAAGAGATCATCATAACTCCTTAGTCCTAACCATGCTGATTCTGAGAGACAAGATAGAATTTTCTGCCACTGTGCTGGGCTCCCCTCTGAAACAGAGGCAAAAGTCAGTCCAGATCACTTAGCAACCCTCTTAACATTGTTCCATGATGCAAAATGAAATAGGGAGTTTAAACCAACTCTTTTTTCTTTCTTATAGCCGTTTAGTTTTCACTAAAGCTCTTGCCTAAGAAGCCTCGAGGTGGGCATGTGTGACATCACACACACACACAAACAAAGACACAGAAAATTCTAGGCAGATAATAATAATAACCCAGGATATATGACAGCTGCCTGTTCAAGGTATTCTACCAAATCTGAGACATCTCTGGTTTGGAGATGGCAGCTGCCAGAGACCCGAAGTTTGTTCATGATTCTTACCTCAAGCAGAGGAAGTGTCCAAAGCTGGGAGCACGTTCAATTCCCTCTGCCTTTGAAGCTGATGTGGTCTCCACCTTGCGCCTTAAACTCAGCTGCTGAAAAGCCAAGATAATTAAGTCTGACTCATCTCAGCCGTGGATTTTTTTAATGCCTCTTTCAAAATGTGATACATAATTGCTTCACTACAATTACCCAATGGCAGGAATGAACACTACAGTTTCTACCCAGATGAACAGACAATGCCACCTATGCAATAATTACCTTCCTGCAACACACACACACACACACACACACACACACACACACATACACACACGCCACACCTTGTGAAATTGTGACGGCTACTTTACCAAAATCATTGAAAACGGTGTTAAACTGAATTGGAAGAGGAAGAATTTTCTTTTCTGGAATAATAAGCTGGTTCCTTCTGGTCAGGGTGCCTGCAGTGGATGGCTCTACTGACCTGAATACCTTTGGGACTGGTGATGGATCATCAGATTCAGTCTGAAAGCATGATAGACTGGATGGGGAAAATGTGGCACATATACACCATGGAATACTACGCAGCCATAAAAAACAGTGAGTTCGTGTCCTTTGTAGGGACATGGATGAATCTGGAAACCTCATTCTCAGCAAACTGATACAAGAACAGAAAATCAAATACCACATGTTCTCACTCATAGATGGGTGTTGAACAGTGAGAACACATGGACACAGGGAGGGGAGCATCACATACTGGCGTCTGGGGGGGCACTAAGGGAGGGATAGCAGTGGGTAGGGAGGTTGGGGAGGGATAACACAGTGAGAAATGCCAGATAAAGGTGACGGGGGATGGAGGCAGCAAACCACATAGCCATGTATGTATCTATGCAACAATCCTGCATGATCTGCACATGTACCCCAGAACCTAAAGTACAATTCAAAAATAAAAATAATAAAAATAAATTTATATATATTTTATGAAGTGGGTTGGTTTATGGGAAAAAAAAGTAAAGAACAGTACAGCTCACATGGGACATAGATTTTTTTTTTTTTTGAGATGGAGTCTCACTGTTGCCCAGGGTGGAGTGCAGGGGTGTGATCTCAGCTCACTGCAACCTCCTCTCCTGGGTTCAAGCCATTTTCCTGCCTGAGCCTCCCGAGTAGCTGGGATTACAGGTGCCACCACTATGCCCAGCTAATTTTTGTATTTTTGGTAGGGATGAGGTTTTGCCGTATTGACTAGGCTGGTCTTGGACTCCTGACCTCAGGTGATCCACCCAACTTGGCCTCTCAAAGTGCTGGGATTACAGGTGTAAGCCACCGTGCCCAGCCTTAGGACATATTATAATTTTTGAAAAAAGGGCTCAAATAATTACAGTCTAGGAAACAAAGATCTAAGAAGAGACTGTAGCTAGTCTGTTGTCTTTTATTTGGAAGAGGCCTTAGAAATCAGCTAATTAGCTTTCCTAATTAGCTGTTTAGGGCACATTTGCCAAATTCATCTTTAAAAACATCAACAGCAGCACTCTATCCAGTTTCATTGTTTGTTTTAGCTTTCCATATTTAACTGAAGATTTGCTGGGAACGCCTGCTTCTTTAGCCTACTCACGATGGCAATCTAAAATGCAAGAGTAATTACTATACTGTTGAACAGCTGACAGTGTGTTTGTCTTTGCAGATCAGAAAACACTCTTAATTAAGACTCCAAAAGAAAAATCATAAATAACTAGGTAGAAATGCATGTTCATTAAGGGGAGATGTCAGGAGACAGTGATAGGGAACTGAGCATCCCTGTTCTTGGTTTCTAGAATGCCTGGGCTATAACCATATAGAGAGCTAACTGAAGATGAAACATTTTTGAGATTGGAAGACAAATTACATTATTCTTGGTAGGAGACAACAGTAGGAAGGAAGAGGGATTATGTGCATATGGAGAGAGGAGCCACATAGGGCAGTCTTGGGGCAAGAGACATGAGTTCTAATCCCTCATTGCCCCCCAATATTTGTGTTGGTGAAATCTGGTTAAAAGGAAACCCTGAAGAGGGATATATAGGGTAGAGAAAAGTAAGAGCTAACATTTATTGAGTGTTTGTTATGTTCTGGGCACCATCCATAAATGAATTCACTAAATACTCATCAAAACTGTATGAGGACCTGATATTATTTCCATTTGCTAGATGGGACAACTTGCCTAAGCTTAGACAATACAGCTAGCAAGTTGTGGAGTCAGGATTCAGGACCCAGGTGTTCCATCTTCAATGGTCTGCCTTTTAAACCACTATACTATGCTGCCTTTTTAGGAAGGTCACTAAAGGGTAATCCACAACCCAGGGTATACAGAAGGTGGGAACTGAGAAGGATGCTGTTGCTAGGCAACCCATCTGGTTCTCTGAGCTGCTAATTGAATCTTTGTAGCACAGATTTATGTGTTTGTTTGAAATAACTAGTTTGTTTCTAACCAGAGCAAGCTGCCTGGAATTCATGTGGCTCTGGAGGTGATGAGTCATCTTACAGTTCACCCTGGGAGGGCTGGGGAGAAGTCTGGCAGAATCATCCTATCATCCAGCAGCAGCTCCTTCTCTTGTCCCTGCTCTGTCCCAGGCCACACTCCACTGATATCTGTGTAATGATGTTTCTGGGTGGATATCAACGCCTGACCCAGGCTGCGACTCCTCCCACCATTTACGCTCTGGAATGGTTTACAGTAGCGACGCACTCTTGGTTTTCAAAAATGAACCTACTCCCCCATCAGTTCCTTCCATCGTTACTAGTTATCTAGAAGGGAGTCACTTTATATTATTGCAGTTCAAAATGAGTTTAAATTCATGCTAAAATTTAAATGCATCTGTGTATGACTTTTTGAGACATGAAGGATATTATGGAAGCAAACAAGATAGTATGATATTACTCTGAAACATCTGGGAATCAATGGTGTGAGCCTAATTGAAGTAAACCAAGATTTCCCTACTTTGGCCCTGTTGGCATTTTCAGCTACAAAATTCTTGGTTGTAGCGGGCTGTCCTGTCTATTATAGAATGTTTAGCAGGCCAGGCCTGGTGGCTAACGCCTGTAATCCTAACACTTTGGGAGGCCAAGGCAGGTGGATCACTTGAGGTAAGGAGTTCAAGACCAGCCTGGCCAAAGAGGTGAAACCTTGTCTCTACTATAAATACAAAAATCAGCCAGGTGTAGTGGCACACGCCTGTAGTCCCAGCTACTTGGGGGGCTGAGGCAGGAGAATGGCTTGAACCCTGGAGGCAGAGGTTGCAGTGAGCCGAGATTGTGCCACTGCACTCCAGTCTGGGCAACAGAGCAAGACTCCGTCTCAAAAACAAACAAATAAATAAATACAAGAATGTTTAGCAGCATCCCTACCACTACCTATTAGCACCACAACCTCTTACCCTAGTTGTGACAACGTCTCCTGTTAGGCAAAGTCACCATAGTTGAGAGCCACTGAAATGAAGTATACACAAGGATTCTATCTACCCCTTGCAGCAGAAAACAGCATTTCTCTCTGTGATCAGATGCTAATATTCCTACTAACATTTTTCTTAACTATCCAATAAATATGGGAACAGATTCTTGTGATAAAAGAGTCAAATAATTACTGAAGTTTACAGATCAAATTGGGAAAATTCTTACCGCAACCACCGCCCCCCCCCCACCCGCCAACTTTGTCCCTGGTCTCTCTCTCACTCTTTTTATTTCTAATTTTTAGTTTTTGAGGCAGGGTCTCACTGTGTCCCCCAAGCTGGAGTGCAGTGCTGTGATCATGGCTCACTACAGCCTCGACCTCCCAGGCTCCAGCATTCTCCCACCCCAGCCTCACTAGTTAACTGGTCTGTAAGTGCGTGCCACCATGCTCGGTTGATTTTTAAAAAAACTTTCTAAGAAGACAGAGCTGGTCTCTAATCCAGTGGTTCTCAAGGTGGCTTTTCCTCCCAGGGAATATTTGGCATCTTTGGATCTTACAACTGGGGAGGATTCTACTAGCATTTTGCGGATAGAGACCATGGATGCTGCTAAACATTGTACGCACAGAACAGCCTCTCACAACAAAGACTTATGGGGTCCAAAATGTCAATAGTGCTGAGGCTGAGAAACCCCAGTCAATCCCCCGCATCCTATCACATTCTCTAGTGATAGATTCATATTACAGATCTGAGCCTGCCCCTAGTAGTGTACACCTGTCAGATTCATGGCTTCCTACCATCTTCTGAATAGCCTTCCCTTTTGGCGCGGGGGTGGAATTCCCATATGGAGTATCCTGCCTCCCCAAGGAAGGAGTTCAGACCCCAATTCCCAGTCTCCTTTGTAGCCAGGACTCAGGTGTGGGGCCCAGACTTCCTCAATCAGATGCCCCATGAGCTTTTTATGTGGAAGTGAGCAAGGTGAAGAAACAGACTCTTCTGGAAGTTTGGCATTTTGTAGGAGGCTGCAAGAGCATGTGGCATTTGATGTTAGCAGTGGCAGTGGCAGCCATTCCCCAGTGATTCTCAGCAGTGGTGATGGCAGTTTCCTCCAGTAGCAATCCCAGTCATAGTAGTTTCCTCACCAGGCCAGTATTCAGCTTGGTTCTGAGCTTCATTCTTGGAAGCTTAGCCTAGGGCCATTTCTCCATCCTCCCTAGAATTCCCTGAGCTATACAGCATCCTTTCTTTTTCTTTTCTTTTTTTTTTTTTTGAGACAGTCTTGCTCTGTTGCCAGGTGTCAGGCTGGAGTGCAATGGCCCAATCTCAGCTCACTGCAACCTCCACCTCCCAGGTTCAAGCAATTCTCCTGCCTCAGCCTCCCAAGTAGCTGGGACTGCAGGTGCGCCACCACGCCCACCTAATTTTTCTATTTCAGTAGACGGGGTTTCACCATGTTGGCCAGGATGGTCTCGATCTCTTGACCTCGTGATCCACCTACCTCGGCCTCCCAAAGTGCTGGGATTACAGACGTGAACCACTGTGCCTAGCCACAGCATCCTTTTAATGCACACCTTTTCTGCTTAGTCAGCCAGAGTCAGCTTCTATTGCTGAAAATTAAGAACCCTGAGTGTAAAGATTCCCCTTCTAAAAACTGTCTAGTGGCTTTCCA